TTTTTTTTTGCCTCCAGACATTTATCTGTCGTCTGTTCTTATTCCCAGCGATCGTTCTGAGTCACTCCCTTTCTACTCCGCCTTTCCTTCAGTCCCATGTTTCCCCCCCCAATTAATCATATTGCCATCTTCCTTGCCTCTCGTTTCTCGCACTATCTTCGGCCACTCCTGCTCTCTCTGGTTCTCTCTCGTCCTGCTATACTGCATATTCGGCTCACTCCCCCTTGCTTTTTTTTATTTTTTTGTAATTTTTAATTTGGACCATTTTTTTCTCGATTTCTGCGTGTTATCCTTGATGAAAGCGCAGGGGCCATGCTAATCTTCTCTTTCTCTGTATCGTTCCAAATTTAACGGAAGGACATCCCTTGTCTTTTGTCTGTTGTCCCCACGCTATTATGCACACAACCTATGTCCGATTTCCTTCCATTTTCAGCCTCCTCTCTTATTTGCCGCCGCCGCCTTCTCCGCTTCCTCCATCGCGTAGTTTGTCTTGCATTCTTGTTGTTCGTCATCCCTGCGCTCGTTACGTTTCATTACGTTTCTCGCCGGCGGGCCACTACCGTCTTCGCCCGAACACAACGCATCCTCATTTTGGCTGTATCTGGCCGGAAATATAGCTTGTATACATTTATTTTTAGGGTGCGTTATGTTCGGGGGAAGACGGTAGGTGCTTTCTCCCTTCTCACTGCCTCGGCTTTCCATTACCCATCTCCCCTTTTCCACTCCTAACTGTTTTCTTTTTTCGACCGCTGGCATCGGCATCCCTCCTCTCTTCCCCCTTCTCCGCCCCCCTCTCTCTTCCCCCTTCTCCGCCCCCCTCTCTCTTCCCCCTTCTCCGCCTCCATCTCTTCCCGCCGTTATCTCTTTCCTCCCTTGTTCTCCGTCATCCCTGATCTCTCCCCTTTTGTTACGTGTCTCGCTGTCCACCCATCTCCCCTTTCTCTCTTCTCCCTGCCTCGGCTTTCCCTTACCCATCATCTCCCCTTCTCCACTCCTAACGGTTCTATTTTTTTGACCGCTGGCATTGGCCCCTCCCTCTCTTCCCCCTTCTCC